AGCCTCAAATTATGATAGCTTCAATATCTCTTAGCTCTCACAGATGGATTAAGTTGTGCTTCTTTTATGAATCCCTTCGGAAATTGGCATAGTTGTCCGGAGATAGGGGCTAGCTCTGTCTATTGGACCCAACTGAGTAGGTTTTACCTGAAGACGGGGACAGAATCCAGTTCCCGAAACGTTGTGTTTTTTAAGAGAAATTAGACTGTTTTTTAGAATAGACAAGATGATGGATAATGTCCAGCAAAATATTAATTGTAATTGTAACTATGTGTTTGTTATACCTATATTTCATCATTCTTGTTACTGTGTTATTGTCTGTAGATTGTGTTTAGGATTGTGAAATATGCTTTAAGGTTAACGACCCTGATTGAATTGCTTCGAGCCAATCATGATCCTGGTGTCCTAGTCGACCGAGCTCAGGGAGGACCTACAGCACATATTCATTCAGGAATCTTGCAAGTCAGGGTATGTTTGTAATGTTTCATAATATGTAATCCATATTGTAGTATTGTTGTGATAAATAAAAGGTAACAAGATTATGAGATTTGAAAGCCTTGTGGCAGTGAGTGTTAAGATCACAGTCTTCTTAGATGTGACACAGTTTAGTCTGGTAGGTAGGTGCAAACATTTCAGAGGAGACTGCTGTCACCATCTTCCATGCCCTGAAGATGGAGTCAGCATTTTGATCTGAAACACTGTTACCTGTCAGATTATACAGTGTCACATCCAAGAAGACCATATCCCATATAAGAATATCCTTTATCAGGCTCGAGACTTTGACGATCCTCCCGGTCTGATGGAGAAAACTGAATATTTGCTGCGGGAGTGGATATCCATACATTATTCCGCTACGGCTGGAAGAGACCCAACGAGAGCCTTCAGTATATTTGTGCAACAGGTATGGCCTATTGCTGTAAGTATTCATACAGAACTGCACAGAAAACTGTTCAGTGTAGGCAGCAGCAGAACTTCTACTGTCCATACAGTTGATCCCTTTCTGTAGTAAATGTCCTGTCATCTCAGTTATATTGAACAGATGTTTCTATAGGCCAACTTGACATGTAGTGTGTGTGTATGTCTAAATTCTGTTCTTATGAGTTTGTTTCTAGTCTACATAACCCCTGTATTTCTAAACATTTTGTTCCTTACAAACATCTTCCACAAGTAACTTGTATTTGCAGTATATTCTGTGTTTCTACAAAGCATTTAATTTTATTCTAGGTTAATGTTTGTCTTTTTCCCTGTATGTACTAAGTAACGCCATTCATTGTTAGTAAACGGATATATGTTTTGGTGTGTGAATCCTTTGTAAGATGTCTTTCAATTTAATTTTGGTAGCACGAAATCTCACCCCATATATTTAAGTACAATTTTTAGGCGTTTTTCAATGAATACTGAGTATAGTGAGAAATGTTTGAGGCAACTTCCAGAGGAACCACTGAGATACACAGTCTATAGCTTATACTGTATTTGGCATAGTTGTGATGAGAAGTTGCAGAACTACACTTACCAGCTTCATGATACCTGTGTCCTGTTAATGTGTATGAGTTCAAGAACCAAACATATTTTCTTGAAATCTGGTACTAGAAATTCTCCTAAATTTGTTGGTATTTTCCAGTTACAGTTAATATCAGATAACAGTAGTAGTCCCTGTACATGAATATCTCTGTGTAATCCTGCACATATCTGAAGTTTAACTCTCAAAATGTTTTTAGAGTGCAAATGTTCAAAGAAAGTTTGTAGAGAAAAGTGATGCATGCATTTAATATTTGATACAATTCTGTGAGAAGTCTCAACAGTTTTGGGGGAGTGGGGTTAATTAGAAATGATTCTCATGCCGGTTAGAGGCTGTGATGCAGTGAGAAGTGCTGGTATCCCTGTGCTGCGTGTAACTCGCTGAAATGATGGCGAGCTTGTGCTGCACGCTGAAACAGTTTGTTCAGAAAAATGTGTTTATATGGAAGCTATGTGAAAATATTGTAGTTACATGTTTAGAGGAGGCTGTACTTATGTAACATTCGTCTGTAATTCTTATACCAAAGTGTGAGGCCACTATTTGTAGATACACAGCAAAGCCTCCTTTTTATGTTCCCTGTTTTGAGGGTTCTTCTCGTTGATCCCAAGTCATTAATCTCAGTGTTAAATTTTTTTCCACATCAGATTCTCCTCAGTTCAGTATTCAGAATTCACTGCTCAAAAACAGCTCCTTAAATGGACGTTTCACCGTTCTCGTTTCGTAATTTCACCTTCAAAGCACTGGTACATTGTCAGATTTGCCTGTTGAAGTGTGACATTCAGAAAGATAATTTTTTTGCTCGTATTTTGGAGTTTATCGTCATCGGTCATATCCCATTCCTGAATCTTGAATCTCATAAAACAGACCTTAATTGTTGATAATGTAATAATGGGTGGCATTTCATTAAAATGTGCTGGTACAGATTTGACAGCCTTTAGTTCTGTTCTCCTACATATCAGACTCAGTGAAGACTGGTAAACTATTTTAGAATTGTTATTTGAATACCTAGTTTAAATTGTCTCACTTGTGGTCTAATTAAATGACACTAGTTATCATGTGTTCAAATGATGACTGCTCTTCTCTGTGATACCATTATTGCATTTGTGTTTAACATTTTAATAGTATCACTACATTTGGTACTAGATACATAAATGAGATGTACTTTGTTTTAGATGAACGGCCATGGAATCCTGAAAACTGATGACCTTATCACACGGTTTTTCCGTCTCAGCACTCAGATGTGTGTTGATTTATGTTACCGGTTCCTTGCTGAGACGCCCAACACTCCAACTTTAGTTCGCACAAAATGTTTCCACACACTCGATGCTTTTGTGCGTCTCATTGCATTACTGGTGAAACACTCGGGCGATGCTTCAAACACAAATACGAAAATCAACCTGCTAAACAAAGTAAGTGCTTCTTTGGTGGTAGATTGTGAAGAAACCAAAAGTGTGTTGAAGAAACCGAAAGTGTGTTCGCTGTGAAGAGTGACTAGCTTCCTGTCTGTCTGTCTGTCTCCATGGGACTGAACACCTTAAGAAGCCAACAGTTGCTCATCTGCTCAAGAAATTCCCAGCATTTTATGGAACACTGTGTTCACAAGATCATGCCACCAGTCCCTGTCATGAGCCAGATGAATCCAGTCCACAACCCCCCATCCCTTTAATATTGTCCTCCTCTGTTCATCTAGATCTTCCTAGTGACCTCTTTCCTTCATATTTTTTTTATCAAAATCCCATATTATGTGCTCTGCAATGCATGCTACTTTCTCTGCCCCTCTTGACTTGATTGTTCTAATAATATCTGACAAGGATGAAGTTCCTCAGTATGCAGTTTAGTCCAGCCTACTGTTATTTCATCCCTCCTGGGTCCAGATATTCTCCTCAGCACCATGTCCTCAAACATGTTCAGTTGTATGTTCTTCCCTTAATGTTAGAGACCAAGTTCCGTACACACTGCGGATGACAATAATCTGCAGATACGTCCCATTTAGCTTATGTACTGCAGAGTTACAGCGGCAGATGCTTCTGTACTTCCTAAATGTGCATCTCAGCACTACAGGACTGGCAGTTAAATTTGTTGGGGTAACGCTGTATTATCCAGCAATAATGGATTTTCAATCAAGTGCTGTAAGGTTGCACCTTCAGTTAAAATGCAGCTCTTGGTCAGATGGACCGTGTACACATGGCATTGAATTTATGAAACGTGGCCGAAAAAGGTTGATCACTTGAACTTTTATTGTACATGGGAACTTGCCTCTGGGTCTGTGCAGTGCATCTACTCAGCATTGCATTTATTTATTTCAATATCAGTACCGTTCCAGCTGTTTAGCGCACTGATTTGAATAACTCCCATTCCTTGGCGGTTTACTGTTTTCCTAAACTGCAGTGTTGCCACATCCCCTTCAGTTCCGTGAGGTTTAAAATCCCTGTTCTCAGACAATACAGATTAACTTAAAGGGAAGTGAATGTATCTGGTGTTTTTGTTAACAGGTGTTGGGTATTGTTGCCGGAGTGCTGCTGCAAGACCACGACAATCGCCTAGCAGAGTTCCAGCAGCTGCCTTATCATCGAATCTTCATCATGCTGTTTCTGGAGCTGAACGCACCTGAAGCAGTCCTTGAGGCCATCAACTACCAGGTTCTCACAGCGTTCTGCCACACACTGCATATTTTGAGGCCTGCCAAAGCTCCGGGCTTTGCGTATGCATGGCTCGAACTTGTCTCCCACAGAGTGTTCATTGGGCGGATGTTGTCCGTCACTCCACAGCAGAAGGTACAGTGAAACCGTTCATTTGGATCTAGGCGGTTGTCTTAAACGTGGTCATACGTCTTTGCTAAATAATTATGTAATTTGACCTCTAGGTAGATACGTGCAGCTGCATTTGTAATGTCTTACCTGATTACTGTTTGTGAACACCACCCGATGACTTGAGACAAGTTTAATAGTATCCTCCCATGTATGTCTTGGTTTCCTCAGAGGTCATCCTTCATGTTTTTTGATAATTTTGTACATATGCCTGATTGCTGCCTTGCATGCTGTGTGCCCTGCCTATCTCATCCTTGATTTGGCCATCCTGACATTTGTTGAAGGATGTGGCTTTTCCCGTTCAAGTTTTTCACTGCGCACACAGCAGAGAACACCAAAAGATGTTATAGAATTTACTCCATGCTCTTGCCAGTATCTGCAGTAGCCATGGTAGTTAAAATTTCATTGGATAGTTTCAGGGTTCTTAATGTGCTCGCTACTTGTAGAATTGCGTCAAGAGAATGTTGCTGTGACGTGTTGTGACATGGAATGTAATGCCATGTGGTTGATAGCCCTCTGACAGCTCTGGGATGTCTGTGGATGTCTAGCAGACTACATAATGTTACATCCCAGAAGGCAGTACTTCTAGTCACAGCTGCGAGGCCATTTAAATTCGATATTGTAACACATTTCTGTTGTTTCGCAATGAAGGGTTGGGGAATGTACGCTCAGCTTCTCATCGACTTGTTCAAGTTCCTGGCTCCGTTTCTTCGCAATGCAGAACTTGCAAAGCCTGTCACACTGTTGTACAAAGGAACCCTGAGAGTCTTGCTGGTGCTCCTGCACGACTTCCCAGAATTTCTCTGTGACTATCACTACGGCTTCTGTGATGTAATTCCACCTAACTGCATTCAGGTAAGCGGACACTCAGAATGAATGACGTGTGTGCATTTCTGTGGACAGTTCTCATGGAATCAAGTAACAGGCAGATAGAACTCCAACACTGTGTATAGGGCTGTCACAGTCCATCTTTTTGATTAATATTCTAACTGCCCGTAATATGATTTTTTTTTCAGTTAATTATTTTGCTATCCATGGAATCTGTCAATAAACTAACAGGGTGTGGACCACAAGTCCAGAGTTTGATCCCAGAATAATAATCATGATTTCTCTTGTAACCTGTATTGGTTGTGTGATGCCCTTTTGTGGGAGGGAGCACCCTCCGAGGTCCATCTGGCCTAGTGTCACATTTTTTCAATGCAGAACTACCCCCAAGTTAAAGTGTAGCCACTGTTGCAGGAGATAGAAATTCCCTAGCACTTGATGATAAAGGCAAGCGTATGCATCTGCACTGCCTTCGTAGCATCCTCAGTAAGGGGTGCCACACGAGTAAATTCAGCCGGAAAATGAAGCTGGCCATTCATCTCCATCTAAAGCCAAGAAGATCATGAATGCTGTCTCCACTGCGCTGTGCCCTCATGGCATGGAGTTTAGGAAGCTCCATGCCTGTACCCAGTCGAGTTATGCGTCTCTTTTCTGAGGTTTAGCCCTGCAGTGTGCATGCACTTGGGAACTTGCTTGTGGGTGTCTTGGTTTCTTGAAGTGATAAAGTCTTAATTCTGCTAGAACCACATGGTCACATGGGACATCCAAGGCTGTTCGTTATTGCCCTGACGCATGCACAGGTGGATCTGTAATCTAAGGGATAACATTAACATTCATCTTTTCGGTTTCACTGTTCCTGTCCAGTGATTGAGACTAGCTCTTTCTAAGGGGCCCAACTGAGTAGGTTAAACCTTCCTTATATACCTGAAGACGGAGACAGATCCAGTCTCCGAAACGTTGTGGTATTTTTGTCTTTTTTATATACCGGACGATGGGTGAAGTCCAATATAAGCCAAAAGAAGTACACTGTTCCTGTTTTTCAGTGCCACGTGTGTTCATGTCTGTTCCTAAATGCAATGTTTGTTGTTTCTGTCACACTGTAGATGCGGAACGTGATCCTGTCGGCATTTCCCAGGAACATGCGGCTTCCTGACCCCTTCACACCGAACTTGAAAGTTGACATGCTGCCCGAGATAGCTCACGCCCCCCGGCTTCTGACCAACTTTGCATCGATGATACAGCCTGTGAGCTTTAAGAAGGTATTTAGTAACATTAAGTTCATTTGTTAACAATTTGAAGGAAACATTTCCTCATTTTGGCAGCCGTCACACTGTGTAGGTGTGGTATAGTGTGATTGGTTGGTTGGTTGGTTTCTGGTGCCTCAGGTTATGCTGTGATTGACCATTCTGGGTTCTGCCTCCTTCATAATGGTGCAGAATATATTCTGAGGTGGACCATTTACAGGACAGATCCGTTACCTGAGTGACAGGGTGATCATGAGAGCAATGAAGGGCAGAGGGTATCTGCAATATGGGGAGGGGGCTGGTATTCTTTACAGTATAGGTGAAGGATTCAATCTGTGAGCACAAAATTGTCTGCGTATATGGCCGGAGCTGAACTGAAACCATCTGAGTGAGGTTACAGTATCTTACCTGAAGACCACAAGATCCACTTCAGTATAAGCGTGGTTGCCTTCCTTCCTGCCAACCCCTTAAACTTTGTTCCTGAGGGTAGGGCACTCGGAGGGAAGATTCCGTTACTCATGAGCATCAGGGTGATCATGAGACTTGATGGTCAGCAGAAAACTCTGTGCCCAAACTCAGAACCCTCAGAATGAGAGTCCACTATTAGGGCCTGAGACCAGATATGCTGTGAGTATGGTTTGTGGTGTTGACGTCAGGTATATGACAAGCATCATTATCAGGCTTTCTGGTCAGGTAGAGGGTGACTGACATCCCCGAGGAGCAAATTGCCTCCAAGTTCAGGGCAGGAACATACAGTGCATTGATGTCAAGGACCTTAAGATACTTAAAAGGTCCTCACTGATAAGAACATTTCATTGTTTTGCAGGATCTGGACTCATACCTCAAGGCACGAGCTCCAGTGACATTCTTGTCGGAGTTACGCAGCAACTTGCAGGTGTCGAATGAGCCAGGAATGTGTTACAATATTCCTCTGATGAATGCCCTCGTGCTGTACGTCGGCACGCAAGCCATCACCTTCATCCGCAACAAAGGGCTAACTCCAAACATGTCAACCATTGCACATTCATCTCACATGGATATATTTCAGAATTTGGCTGTGGATCTTGATACGGAAGGTGACTGCATAAAACTAACAGACATGAACATGAATCGACTTGAGCAGTATCTGGTTCACGGGCCCAGAGACTTGTAGCTCTGTACTCTGTTGGTTGCTTACCAGCATTTTGGAGAAACATGCTGCCTCCATCTTCAGGATAAAAATGCTGTGTAATCTGCAGTTAATGCAGGAAAATGGTCTGTCACGCTGAGTGTGTAACATGCTTTGTCTTTCAGAAGGTCCCAGGCTGTCACCTTGGCCTGGGGACCAGCTGTCCTCACTGAGAATTATGACAGTTTCCCGTGCCCCTGGAAGCAAGTGCCATGACAGTGCTTCAAAGTGGGGTGTAATTACTCTGTTTCACATTCTTCCAAATTCATTATTCCCTAATCATCCCTTCATTCATCTCCAGACAGTGTGAGCCACTGGCAGCTTCATTAAATGAAGAGAGTCACATGTGTCTGAAACCCATTTCGGGATTGTGGACAGAGAAGTAGAGGCCACTAAATATAGTTTCTATAGTTGCTGAGGCACTCAGTGCATAGATGTACCAGTTAATGGATCCCCTCCTCGAAGGACTTTGGTGTTGGTGCTGGAAACTCACCACTGTGGGCTTGACACCCTCTTGTGACCCAAATCTATGGTCCTTCCATGCTCTCTTGAGGCAGCCAGAACGAACTGCATGGGGCAGGGTCTGACACGCGTGGAGCCCTGCCACTATCAGACAGTCTGAGCCACATGGGCTCAGTTATTGTGAGCCTCTTGGAGGGTTCCACTCTAACTCATTGCAGTGTCAGGCTCCTGGGATGCCAGTGTTTCTCATTGCACGAGTGGGTTACGTTTGAACGTTCTGTGCATTTTCATGGCGTATGTGACTTGTGACATTTCATGATGTTCTGTTTCAGGGAGGTATCTCTTCCTTAATGCTATTGCCAATCAGCTGCGTTACCCAAACAGCCACACGCACTACTTCAGCTGTACCCTCCTGTATTTGTTTGCTGAAGCGAACACAGAAGCAATCCAGGAGCAAATCACAAGGTACAGTCAGCCAACACTCCCACTTCTGAAATGCGCGTCATCGTGTTTTGCTGGAGAACAGCAACTCTGAACACTGACTGCATGTGGGAAGCGCTAATGTAAAAAGTCAGGCTTCCATGATTAAGCACACACAGGCAGTCAAGATGGTGCAGAATCATACTTTTGCAAGAAAACTGCAATTGCACTTAAGTTTTCCTTTCACTCTGTATTATGAGCATGTTCTTGCCATTTTCCTGAAGTACTGAAATCTCAAGGTAAGAATATGAAGAAAAAACTGAATTGCGATTCAGTAGGCCATTAAATGAGCAAAAGGAGAAGGTTATTTCTTGACGTGGACTGATGTTGAGTATCGCACTAGAGCATAATGGATGCTTGTTCATCTTCAGTCACATTTTGCAGCCACCAGAGCCAGTAGTAACCGGTACTTTATCTCCTCTTCTAAGAAGATAAATGTTAGAACCAGATTCAACAGTCAATAGCACTGATGAAATATTAAAAGCTCAATAATTTAAGTATTCGCCTACTTCGAACGTTTTTGTTTGATTTCAGGGTGCTGTTGGAGCGACTGATTGTAAACAGGCCTCATCCCTGGGGTCTTCTCATTACATTCATTGAGCTTATCAAGAATCCAACTTACAAGTTCTGGAATCATGAGTTTGTGCATTGTGCGCCAGAAATTGAGAAGTAAGTAGGGAGCTACTGGATACGGGATGAATTGGGGAGGGGGAACTTTGAGAAATAACAGTGGGTTATTTCTTAACAAAAACGTAATTCTGTTAGAATCCAGGAGCCTTCAGTAGGCTGGGCGCTGTAGGGGCAGAGGACAGATACAGTATACTGGTGGGGAAACTTCTGAAATGCTGTCACCTCTGAGACCATGATAGGTATGAGGGTGTAATAGAGGTGTCTGGGGGTGGAGGAGAGAGTTTTATCACTAAGCTAAGGGAAACGTAAATAAAGGAAACTTATTATTTTGATAGTGGAGCAAGGCTGGTATAAATTATATGAGTTGTATCAGTATCTTGTGTAGTGTAACATATATATTTACAGCCAGATGAAAGTGATAAAACGAAATTTGTCAGAAATACTTGACGTGTCCTTTTCTTGAATTGGCTGCAGAGCAGCGTGATGGCAAATTTTACCACTGGAAAGCTTGGAAGCAGTTCACCGATTTAGTGGGGTCATCCCCAGATAGAAAATAAACATTGACGGGTAATTAGAGAAGACCGTACTAATGGCTGTTGCTGCAGCATTGCCATCGTGTGCTCCAGTTTCTTCCTGTATGAATTTTGTATCGGTACACAGCTGCACTTTATTCTCCTTGATTTCAAATGCAGCAGGTGGATGGAAGCCTTGAGATAAACAGTTTCCACAGATAAACCCCCTCAAAATGATCCACTGTTACATATATCTTCACACAGAATGGGGCTGGTGCTGGCTGAATCATAGACACCTCTCACTGCCACCTGGCAGTCCTATTTCTATTCCGAATTCTGTATGGATCTGTTCTATACTTGAGTTTTTATCTTCCCTCAGTGTCACTGTGAGTCATTTCATTTGGATCTAGCAGAGCTTCTGAGATTGTTACTCGTGTTGTGCTTCCACTAGTAACTCTGAAACATTATTAATATGCTTGAGCTCATCCTGAAGCACCTAAAACATTATGAAATTCCCATCAATTTTTATGGCTTGCGCTTATTTTGTGTGCCCAGAACGTTTCCTTCAGTTACTAAAACGCTTTTCCACTGAACGTTGTCCATTAGGAAAATATGTGCACTTTATGTCAGATGCTTGTTTCAAACCAGGAATGTTATGTACTGTACTGTGCACCACTGCTTGGGCTCGGTGAACACTGTGAACAACGGCATCTGGCAGAGTTAAGTCTTAGGGCCACAGTGCAGAATTCACATGCGTGTGCGCACACTCCCAGTCTGCAGTTGTACAATACTTCTGTATCCACTTTGTTCAGAATCTGCTGAGTTTCAATGTCAGCAGGGATACTGGCTATCCTGGCAAAGGTTTTTCATGGTTTTACTCAGTCTCTGCAGGCAGAATCCCAGAATAGTACCTCAAGCCATGACCACTTGCTTCCAGTTTCATTCCACTTGTCAGTCATCAGGGAATTGAGCGCTGTCTGTAGTCTCAGTGCTGACAGCATCATGAAATATCCCACAAAAAATAAGTAATGTTGCCTTGGCACCATTAGTATCGTCACCTCCATTGGCACTGGCACAGTTACCGGTTTAAGGGCACCCTCAGATATGAAGGCACTAAAGTGAAGGTCTCCAAAAAATGTTAAATATTGATGAAATGGAGGAAGACGCTTAATTCGACCTCCAGAAAGATAGATTAAGAATTGTAGTGTTTGCAATGACCAAGGCAGTGAAGTGTTGTCTGATTAGTATGCTCTGTGATGTTGCTGTCGTCTCATGTTGCAGGTTGTTTGAGTCAGTGGCTCGATCTTGCATGGTGCAGAAGCAGGTGCAACCCCCGCAGGAGAATGAGTTGGCAGAATAATGGCCGATGGTGGATGTAGCAGCAGGCAGTCGTTTATACAAATTGTTTATTTTCAGTACGGTGGTGTAAATAGCAAAATTGATAGTGAATCTAGTCTTCGAAGAAAAGATCACTTGACTATTTTTTGTATTCATAGTTTCAGTTTGATGTCTTCATTTTTAAAGATTTTGTGATGAAAAATTATAATTACATACATGTGGCCAGTTTCTTTGTTCTCATATGTGAGTCAGGTACTAAGAACATTTTCTATCAGAAGATTTGAGAGAAATTCCACATGTTTAAGATAGGACTCTAGTGTACAAATGTATCTCTTTTTCTATGCTTTTTTCAACTGTATTATAGGATCATGGTGTCATGTTTGGGGTTTTCTCCAAACTCAGGATACAGATGTTATGGTCAGTCAGTATACGTTAGGCAGAAGTGACTTCACTAAACTATATTACAGCTGAAACAGCTTCCAGTGTCTTTTATTTGTAGAAATATAACCATAATTGCTTTATATTGTGCTGACTCGATCTGTGTGCTTGCTGCGCTGTGTCTAAAATGAAGACATGGCACAGGAAAGAAAATATTTTCAGTTTTATGTTGTAATCAGAGTTTGTAGTTGTAAAGAAATTTGTTAATAATGAAACTCCCAAAATGTTGGTTTCCAAACTTTCTAATGTACGCATGCACACAGCCTGTATGTATTTCAGTTTAGCAGAAGGAATAATATATTTCTGTATAATTATGTAAAATAACTTTAATAATGCTAAAATATGTTAATTCATGAACCACATGAAATCTTGTTTAAATTGCATCAAGACCCCAATTTCTCACCCTTGTCCGACTTCTGGATATTCCTTTGTGAGATTGATAAATGCATTCATCTGTCAAAGAAGAACACGGACTGCCATCTGTTTATGACAAGATGAAATGCTAATGCAGTCTGACCTTCAACTTCAAGACAAGGCTGTGATGACTGGACACAGTGGCCAGTCATGGCTGGGAGATTAAACTGGTTCTTTTTCTCCCATAGCTGAATGTTGCAAAATGAATGTCCTCTTGATCTGTGTATACAAGGCTAAAGTCAGAATGTCTTATGGTAAGACAGGTTATATAATTAATTTTTGCTGGTCTTCCCATGTGTGATTTCTTCTTCAACTGGTTGGATTTGTTTAGGCTTTTATCCACATTTATCCAAGTGTTCTTTGCTTTTCAGTCTTTTTTCTTTCCAGTGGCCTGTGTTTGTTTTTGCACTCTGTTTATGTAATATATTAACTTTAGTGATCTCATTCTGTGCTTTCTTTCTCAATGGTTTTCTGTTTCCTATTTAAAATTGGTATTTTCAAATCACAGAAGGAAAATGAAGGTTGTAAGTTATTTAACCCTTTATTGTTATGCAAATTTGCACAGTTCCTAACTTATTCTATGTAAAATGTATTGTAACGTGTCTGGAATCCAGAAGAGTAACTTCTATGGAGACGCCAGAAGAGACCGTTGCATAGGAAGTAACAATAGCGGCACTGTAATCCCAACAGTGAGCCGTTGTGTAGAGAACATCAAATCTCCATGGTTACGATGAATACGCGAAGCGTTCCCACAGAGACAACGCAATAACAGTGGGTCATTGCGTAGGAAACGCGGAATCAACAAAGCAACGTTTCCACTGCTATAACAGAGGATTCATTTGCCTAGCAGTGGCCGAGGTTATAAATAGCCCAGCTTTGGCGAGAAGCAGTCAGTCTTGGGATAGCAGCCATCTAAGAAGTGAGTCTTTATCCAGCCGCCTAAGAACAAAGTCTTTATCCAGCCTTCGAAGAAGTGAGTCTTGGAACACCCGCTGCAGAAGTCAGTCTCGGAATATTCGCCGCAGAAGAGAGTCTGCTAGAAACCGCCAGAGAAGCCAGTCTAGTATCGCCGAGATATTGTAAGCAGTGACTGTAACACTGCAAGGGCAAATGTTTGTAAAGTGTGTGTAAGGCGAGCGAACGGAATAAACTCGCTATATCAGACGACGTGAATTTATTTGTAGCGTGACACACAAAACGCGATACAGTATATTGAAGAAAGCAGTGTTCTGGAATTTGGCACAGTGTATATGTGGTGTTAACTGACGTTTCGGAGGAACGTATCGCCTCCATCTTCAGGGTAGAAGAAAAAATATAAGAAATCTGCAAGCGAAGAGACTGTGAGAACCAGTAAAAGCAGACTGTGTCTCTAATTTTGCATTTGATATGCAATAGTAGAGTGGGACCTCTTTCAGACTTCAAGAACTCCTGAAACGCAGAAGGGAGATACTGTATAACATTCACACTAAGCAAGTACCTTGTTAATGGTTATTATGTTCAGTTAGGCTACAAAAAGCATCACTACATTAACCATAAATAAGTAGAATACACCCAGATACTGAACTTGATAGAGTGGCAGTATGCACTGTGAACTTCTTTGGGTGTATTTAGCCACTGCAATATTGCTTGAAGCACGCCTTACACTGCCATCTTTGGCTGCATACAGGAACTATCTCTTAGATCAAGTGTATTTCTCGGGACTTTCGTAACAAGTGTTGTGTGTTAAGCTCAGGCTGTTAACATGTCATGTGAGGAAGACTAACTTGATGAGACAAAATATAATAATCAGACAGAATATTTTGCAGCATAGAATTTTCATTCAAACACTTTTCGCATCTCCTTTCTATCAATCCTTGTTCACTGAGACATACAAAAAATATAAGAAATTATAAATGACATTCACAGTTATAGCTCCAATGAATACAACTTATAAATATGTTATTTGTATGGATACAAAATCCTTTGTTACTTGAATATCTGATGTATATAAATGCAACGTTCCTGTTTGCTACTGTAGATGTAGTGCAGAATGCTCTAAGATGTGAAGGTTACTGACCAGTATGTATAGGAGACAGTTCGTAAAGCAATGTGTGAATATGGGGGAGGGTACAATTTGAATCCTCATTCCCAGCCTTTTTTTTTTAAATAAATATTTATATGTATATATACACAAACATGAGTAGACTTGAATTTCCATTAAAGTTGTAGCTGCTGTGTATTGTGATACTGACAAGGAAGGCAGTGATATCCCAGGGGAAGAGCAAGCACGTCTGTCTGGTAAGACATATAAAAGTGACTGTGTGGGGGTTGGAGGTAAAAGAGGGGTAAAGCCATATGCTTAACACCAAGCCGTGACATCGCGAGAGCTCTGTGCATTCTGAGTTTTGGTTCCAGATGGGACTGAGCGGCAAGCTGTGTCTCTGGGAAGCATCAGCAGTGCCCAGTCTCTAGGAGTGACAATAGAGACATTCTAACATCTGTGGGGAATTAGATCTGTGTTATGAAGCATGTGGACATGTTTTGCTGGCTGATTGATCACGCATTTTGTCTTCTCCGCATGTCGTGTTACTGGGCACAGCATGAGAAAAGTTACGGGCACTGACATTCGCAAAAGTAGCCTTTGCCTGAATCTAGCAGCAAGTTTAATTTCTTGCGTAACAGTTGTAGGGTAATTTCACAAAACACTTTTAAGCTAAAGATCGTCAGAATAATATTTAAAAATTAATTTTCTACCTCATAACTCACACTTTGTTTCCATTATAAAGACAAGTCACTAGTGCTGTTTGTTGTGAAAGCCCGAAACTGTGAGGTGCATACTTTTTTGCTGCAGTATCCACTGTGCTTAAAGAAGTTAATTACATTACAGATTGTAAGGTGTATACTTATGCTCAGATGGTAATGAAAATTAATTTGCAGGCATCTCTGCACCCAGAGTTCACTGGCGACTGTGAGAAGCCCGTGTCATGTTGCTTAATTGCTCTCGCTGTAGTGAGCTTAATGTATCTTTATTTTTTATTTTGTGGTGTTCCTGAAGGTGGCAAACCAAATAAATACAAGGCAGAGACAAGGTTGGTAGGCTTGTAGATACAGAGATACAGTGGATAATGTAATTGTTTAAAAATAAGTACATGGAACTGTTTATGCAGGAAAATTGGTACTGGCAGACATAAGTAAGATATTAACATCTTTTAATTAGACCTGGTGATGTAGTGTGGCAGCTTCCAGTGTTGACGGTCTCATAGCAACCTCAGCCCTCAGCACCGATGATATCAGAACTTTGTGAGTGTGAAGAAATTAGACGTGATCACAGTATTGCATCGTGTTATTCACACTGTTATGCAATCATTGAATGGGAGATGTGACATGCATTCTGGATGTTTCCACATCATATGGCTTCATTCACCTTGCCAAAACATTCTTAGATTATTTAACAGTTCTGTACCAACTGCTGAGGACATATGGCATCAGATTAAGACGATTTGGAAGGAAACAGCTATGGCCTCTTGGAAGCTTTAACCCCACAGTTTGCCAGGAGAAGCCGAGGACCGCCATGAATCTCAGAAAAGACAACTGTTAACCCATCCGAGATTGAAGTCAGTATGTAGTGTAACATTTCCAAATCTGGAAGCTTGATAACACCAGGATCCTTCTAGTGACTCTTCAAAACGAATCATTCATTTGAATAGTTTATGTAAACTCGTCACAGGCCTCGGCTATATTTGTGGTATCGCAGAAATTGCACTTGGTTCCGATCCTCCAACGGCTGCGTATTTTGGTTTGCAAACACAGCCACTTTCAACCAGCACGTAATCTTGTCCTGTGAGAGTGACAGGTCCTAATGGAATCACCAGGAACAAATATGGCACGTACGTTTGTGTGCATTCACCTCTGACGACATCACATTCAGTTGACCTGAAACAGCGAAGTTATTAATTAGTACCTTGATGTACAGAGCAGAGGCAGGAGAGATGTCAACTCGGTACAAGAAATTGGAGATGGTGTTTCTGTGCTGATTTTAAGGAATAAACAGTTGTATCTGCTGGGGTGCCATGCCGAAGTTTACTGTTACACAGATCCAATGCCTGTGACGAGTCTCAGCAGGAAATGGAAGGGATGCTTTTAGTGTTAAAATTTTGCTAGGCTACACAGTGTCACATTCCCACAGTCACCTTTATGAGAACCTCAGAGCCAGCAGAGAAGGTGTGAAGTCCAAAACAGGAACTAGACATAAGAGTAGAGGTGCTATAAGAAAGGTGTTAATATTATGACATGGCCTGAAAGCCGCAACCTGCAAATCTGCTGGGCAGAGCTTCACTGGGCATGTTCCTGCGATAACGCAAAATACACCACTTTTTATTAAGACCCTCACAACACATTAGCTTTGCTTCATTTTCAGCTATTCATAGCCATCATCAGGCAAATAAACGATCATCATTATGACAGCTATGAATAGCCAAAACATGTAGCTAAGCTAATTTAGCCTTGAACTCTGTATTGTTGTGTTCTGTGGTCATAATAAAGAGTTGTATATAATAACACAACAGGATGCATGGGGAAAAAAAAAGCAAAATACACCATTACTCTGGGTTTTGATGGAGCTATTGGAGATATCCATGGTAACAACATTCTAAACAGACTGTTACCAGGGATATGACAAAGAGAAATCTTCAAGGAGGTGTTTGCCTGGTAACGCATGCTTAGGCAGGCAGTTACCACGGATATGAAATGCAGAACTGTTCCACTCAGTGTCCCCTATTCAGTATGCCAAGCACATATGAAACAATGCATTTGTGAACAGTTCAGAGTTCAGAAGTGAAGTCGGAGAGAGCACAGAAAATGTGTGAACTGTTGTAATTCAGTGTAATTGTGATACTGACATCAAATAAACCTAATCATGAAATCTAGAATCCACAATTATTAGTCATGTGTCCCCCCCCTACACATGAAAATAATGAACCTCTTGGTCTAGTGAGTAGTGGATGTGGTAAGCAGAAGGACCACCTGCTTTAACACATACACTGAAGTTTACCACTGACCACATCAGGTGGTGACGCTGTGACTAAGACTCGTTATCTCCCACAGATGTTATACACATGCAGATAATTGTAGTGTGACAGAGTTGAAAGCTACAGCTATTATTCATGAATTTCGAAGCCAGCCAGACAGGTAAAATTCCAGTATGTTGCATCAGAGCCAGTGTGTAAACATTCAAAACTCTGCATTTTGTCCACGTAGACTGTATTTACGTGTTTTGCATGATTCTCACAATAAACAGTGATTACTTCACTAAACGGTGTCAACCGCTTGGTCATTTTTACGGAGACAGTGTGTCTTCTGTGAGGTACGGACTGAATTTTTAAATTTTATGTAAACTTCAGCCTTCAAGGAATTAATAAAGTGAGCATTGCAAACATTTTAAACGTAATGCTCTGTACGTTCTTGGTAGCAGCATTAGCTGGAGAAGAACATGGAAGCCATTGTGACCATCCACTGCCGTGTCTGCAGTAAACTTATTTCATCAGAGATGATGTGTGCCGTGACAGGGGAAATGAGCAGCATCTAGAGCAAACCGCCCTCACAGAAGCGGTCATTTCCGTTGCAGCCTAAACAGCAAGGGAATCAAGGAAGGTAACGCAAGGCAGGGTTAATGTGCCGGCAGACATTTGCTGATGTTAATGTGGTGTTTCTTACTCGCAGACTTCAAAGACGACTTGCTGCAGCAGGTCCGGAAACTTCTGCACAATTGTGACGGGCTGCCCCGATGTCAGTGACACCCCATACATAGGAGCTGTTGTGTTGTAGCGAGTTTTACACAGCCTTGCAGGAGTACCACCGCAGCTCTCTCGTGGGCTGAACTTGTTGAAGCTGCTGCGACCTGCACATGCAATCAGTTCAGCTGATGTTACCTCAGTGGCATCATAAGCATCTGCTGTTACATAAGTTGCCCAATCACAGAACAGTTCATGTGGGAACTGCAGTGCAGAAAGTGGAACTGAGACAGGTTTTGCAATGCTAGTTGTCAGTCCGTCACTCACTGTCGGTTCTGAAATAAATTTATAGAGGAAGAAGTGGAACAGAAGAGGTGCTGACAGAGAAGTGACTGCAGTGGTTTGGCCATGTGAGAACGGAGAGCCCACGGACACTGAGAAGGGCATTGCCAGAATTAAAATTAAAAGCAAAAAATCAATGTGAAGACCTAGAACAAGAAGGTTCAACCAGGTATTAGAAGACGCCAAGAGAAGAGGAAGAAGCTCTCTTAGAAGTTGAAAAGGAAGCGACACTTTCCGTCCATTGGTGCATATAATCTGGAAATGATGGTGGGACAGGAAGTGAAGTCATTCCACCAATCATGGCCCCAGTTAGTAACGTTAACTATTGTTGAATCCTATGGGCCTCCTTGGCCTGTTACAGGGATAACTTTACCTGTACCTTACTAGTTCTTTTTAGCATGTCTTGCCTGTAATTGTCAAGCAGTCCAATAAATTATCGTCATTAAGCATTTATTTACCCATTACATAAACGAGCAAGGGATGTCCCAAGTATCATACGGTGAATATTTACAAATATACAACAGTTGTGCATAAATTTTTTTAACTGGTTTATGTAAAATATAGACATCTTAATTGTAATGAGCCAGAGTAGCTCAGGTGGTATAGTGACTACACTAAAGGCGCTGAACGACCAGGGAATCGGTGTTCAGTTCCCGAGAGGAACAAGAGATATTTTCCTTCACCACTCCGTCCATATTGGCTTGGGGGCAAAGCTTGCCTCCTGTGTACTGGGTAACGAGGACTCTTTCCCCAGTTATATAGCGATCAGGGCCCTGAAGCTGACCACACGCCATCTTGAGAACAGGTTACTTTCCCTGTTTGTTATTGTGTGACTGTACGACGTGCGATGGTAGGATGACAGGCGAACTGAAAAAGAAGCGACCGTGGCCTGACTGCAGAATTATGGAGGCACTGAGAAAGTTCACGGAAACCCTCAGTCAGGATAGCCGGTGACTTGGTCGACATTCCAACCGAGCACCTCCCGAATGCAAATTTTAGACCGTTACCTTTGCCAGGGGCAGTAACTTCTTTGTTCTGTAGGTCTCCATCGCGCAGTGCGACAGGTACAACTCAACCTTTACATGTCAATGTTCGTTGGTAGTTCTAGATGTTTGGGGCTGCTATGAAAACTAGTTAGGATGATTCCAGTGGAAGACAGAAGCATTGCAACCATGTGCATGTCCCGTTGTTATTCATTTCATCGTCTTAAACAATAAGAACTGACTTTTAAGAATGTACCGATCCAGACTGTTGTCTCCAGTTCCGTGGCGATGTGAGGAAGGAAGATAAGAAACTTGAGTTACAGCTAGTCCTTCAGTGCGATGAGGGACCTGCCAAGTGATACTGCACTGACCCAGTGTACACACGACCTTAGTCCTCCTTCCCAACACCGATGTGGGTATGAACTCGTTCTGTCATGACCCGCATACATGAACTAACGGTTCGAACCGTGATAAACGAGACATTCACTTCCTGTCGGGTCAGAGAGCTACTCATTTACCATTCGCTCCGGAGTGTATTGTTAAGAAAACTGCCATTGTTGCGGAAACTATGTAATTATGCCCGCTCCCTTGTAACCAGCGTTCATTGAAAGACGAACTGGTCTGGTTAGCTACCTTCAATGAGCAACGCTGGTTGTGCAGGGATGCGTAACCGTTTGCCTATGTGGCCCTGTTCGGGACATGTTTCGACCCATGGCGCCCAACATATGGCCGCCGTGTAATATATACATGACATGACTATGATCTTGATAAAAAAATTCTTTCCGTCGTAAAGGGAGGAGTAAGTTATTTAATCTTTAACAATTTCCTTGCAGAGTCGTGTACAAATAAACCGTTTGTTTTAATTTGTAGGTTGTTCTGTCTGTAATTCGATCCCGGGTCTGGCCAAGTGGGATTTGTGGTGGACAAATTGGCGCTGGGGCAGGTTTTCTCCGAGAACTTCGGTTCACCTGCCAATCTTCATTCCACCAATTGCTCCACAATCACCCTCACCTATCATCTGGGGCTGGTACAATAGGCCAGAAGTGGCTTCAGTACAAGGGACTTAGTCCCACCCCACTAGCAATATAAAAAAAAAAATTCTTCACTAAAACGTGTTTGTTAAATATTTTAAAATTGCATTAACTCTGTACATTTGATATCATTGCTACGTGTTTCGACCACACATGGGCCATCATCAGTCAACACTTATTATCTCGGGAGACCACTGCACTGTACAAATTGTTCTGAGTACCCTTAGGCGCGTTGCTATTGTTGTTAATTTGTTTCGTAGGATATTTTCATCCTATTTTTTTAGCGACCGTTTCAATGTTCCTGTTTAATGTGTCGTTCACTTTAGATGTGTGTGTTTAGTGCCGTTTATAAACAGCACTAAGCACACACAACTAAAGTGAACGACACACCGAAACCGCCGCTAAAGAAGATAGGGGTGTCCCAGTGCCACAGATGCTGAAATATAATACTAAGTTTGCTTTAATAGTTTTATTTGGTAATTGCTATTGTTAAAAACCCACGTATGATTCGAGTTAATACTGAATAGGTCACGATATTTCCCACTTAATTTCTAATTAACCAATAATAATCATCGTTCCAAATAGCCAATGCAGTTAACAGCTAATTGTGAATGGGAAGTGGCCAGAGGCTCTGATGCATTAAGATGACACTGAAGAAGCAGAAGAACAAGAATGAACCGACGATACACGCAGCGTTCGAGTGTCGGGACTCGTGAAAATGGCGCAGTTCGTGTTTCTTTTGTTTGCCAATACGTAGCTATCATTTTGCAGTTATTCCACACTGTCGTTTGGTCTCAGACGTCGTAATATTGCGGTATATTTCAGTCCCAACTAGGAATATTATCCCCAGAGCGTGACGAATCGGCAGAGATTATGTTTATAGAGAGCAGGATATGGAACAGAATTCTGGGGTGGCCAAAATCTCTACGCTTGAAAGTGCCATAAAATAAACAACGCCCTAGGGACACATATATTTTAGGTTAGTTCCTAAACATTATGACACTGCTGTACATCGGCCATTTGTTTGAAAAAAGTCTCTTGTTGGCCCAAGTAGTTGGCTAGTGACAGGCTGTTGGCACCACTGCGCTGAAGCTTCAGGTTACACAAAAATGGGGAATTTCGTAAACAGTTGCGCTACAGTCAGCTTCACAATCGGGATTCCGTTCCATGGAGTTAACTTTCTCATAGCCTAACTAACCGAATGTTTGTTAATGTGATGTTAAAACACAAAACATTTAACTCACGAATCTGATTTTAAACCATTTAAATCCAATTTGCAACATGAAAACACCTTGTAGATTGGCAGGTCAATATCAGCATTTCGGAGGAAACTTCTGGCTGCATCTTCAGGGCAGAAGTATAACCAGAAACCCATAATCTGAAAAAGCTGTTCTGTTTCGTTGAGTTGCAACGGCACTTGATTGCTTCGACTTCCTCAGTGACGTGTTCTGGGGATAATGTTGGGATGGCGCTGCCAAATGAAGTGAGGCCGCCGCATCTTAGACACCTGCACGTGCACCACTCCTGGTCGTCTCCTCCGACGCTCTTGTAAAGCAAGGTTTCGACGTCACTCATACTGACCTGTCCTGCTGTTGGCGGGCAGAAGCCCGGATGCGTACTCCTGGGCCACCTGATAGCCGTGCAGCAAGGTCCTCTGTGTTAGGACCGGGTCCACGGGGCTGAAGGATCTCCCAGTTCGAGACGAACCCCATGCAGAGTTACTCCGAAACGTCTTGGCTACAGCCGCCCTGCACACAAAACACACCCGGCTGACGTCATTTCCTTACTATACTCCATCTGCTATGATGGCGAGGGTTCATCATTGTCAGTTGGTGACGCTGACCGTTCCATCATATTTCCGGTATTTATACTCCGGTGACGCATGACGTCATCACTCTACCATCTACGCTGAATAGCCTTCGCAGCTGGATAAAGTTCGATAAATAACCAAAGTCAGCCAAACAACGATAATTACTATTTCGATGGTGCCAAGCATTTAGAACTGGTCACGGTCGTGGGTTCGAATCCCACAAAAGGCTTAGATGTTTGGTATGTGTATGCGTTTATTCTGTGTTTGTGTTGTCCTGTGTTTAGGTAGAGGCCTTGCGACGAGCTGATCACCCACCGAAGGAGTCCTACCGTCTGTAAAATGATCATGGAACTGAGAAATCAGCCCTACGCTCCAAAGTGGGAGCAGGAGGAAGGAACAAAATTATACGCCGGTGGGAAAATCAAACGCACGTACACAGGACTTTCATGCCATAAGGTTGCCTACACGTGGTACGGCGAAACCCAGTTCGTAGAGCAGTACCGCTATTTTCCTTCTGTGTACATTAAACCTAGTCAGGTTTGTGATACGCCTTGTTCCACCCAGCCACCAGCATTTCGTTCGGAAGAGCTTTTTCGAACCTGTACTTCTGTCAATGACCTGTTCTGATTGGAGTGTGAGTACGGGAGAAACAAACAAACGAGGAAGAGGCAGATGGCTCTGCGACAAGTCTCAGATGTCACTTTACCGATGCGAGGAGCCTGAGGACCCTTCGCCATGTGACGGACAGACAGACCTCTGTTTGCCTGTCATTTAAATGTGTTTGTTGACATGCTTGTTGACCGGTCTCTAGCCAGGAGTACCGTTAAGTGCAAGCCCGACTGTCACTGACCAAGTTGTCCATGTGCTCATCTACTTCAGCACTTTTCTCACCCTTTTCGCAAACCGATTTTCACACCCTTTTCACAACTTTTTTCAATTTATGTCTGCGCACAAGCGCGAACACGAGCACATAAATACGCGCGTACTTAAATACGTGCGCACATAAAGACGCGCGTACAAAAATACGCGCGTACAAAATACGTGCGCACAAAATACGCGCGTATAGAAATACGTGCGCAAAAATACGCGCGTACAAAATACGTGCGTACAAAAACACGTGCGCAAAAAATACGCGCGTACAAAACACGTGTTCAAAAATTACGCGCGTACAAAAATACGTGGACACAAAAATACACGCGTACAAAACACGTGTTCAAAAATTATGCGCGTACAAAATACGTGCGCACAAAAATACGCGCGTACAAAAACACGTGCGCAAAAAATACGCGCGTACAAAATACGTCCGCACAAAACCACGCGCGCAAAAAATACGCGCGTGCAAAAATACGTGGGCACAAAAACACGCGCCTACAAAAACACGTGCGTACAAAAACACGTGCGCAAAAAATACGTGCGCAAAAAATACGCGCGTACAAAACACGTGCGCACAAAAATACGCGCGTACAAAACACGTGCGCAAAAATTATGTGCGTACAAAAATACGCGCGTAAAAAATACATGCGCACAAAAAAACGCTCGTACATAAATTCGCGCTAACATAAATACGCGCACTACGCCATGAAGACGTATGGGGGAGATGACGTATAGATCTTGATCTCGACGCTGGGTGGAGGTAAGTGGACAACTTCAACTGCAACTCATTGCATAGGAGGCTGGATGGGTCCCACAGACACTCCCGACTGGGACTCCACAGCTTCCAGACCGGCGCTGAGGCCCACCCAGCCTCCTATCCGACGGATACCGGGGGTAAAGCGGCCGGGGCGTGTCACTAACAACTCATGTTGAGTAAGTGGCTGAAGTACCTCCACAAGAGGGTCCAGGCTCACAGTGAGCTGTAGAGACAACTCAGTGGCTTGTGGCACAACGGAGACGTCGCGAAACTGGGCCCGTAACTTGTAACGGGAAGCAGGTTGTTTCTTTCCTGAATGTAGCGCGCAGAGGAGAGAAGAGAGATTCATACAAGCATCTGAGTGGAAAACCTGTAGGAAAAAGAAGACTTGGAATGCCTAAGTGTAGATGGAAGAAGAATTTCATAATGTACCTTGAGGAATGCGGAACTGGAGGACGTGAGCTTGAGTACGCCTGGTCAGGACAGAGACCGGTGGCGGGCTCTTGTGAGTGCGGTAATGAACATTCGATTTCTACTAACTGGTGGGAATTTATTGACTAGCTGGGAAACTGTTAGCTTTTCGAAAAGGACTGTTACCTCTGTGGATAACGGCGGCCCGGGTTCGATCCCGGGTCTGGTAAAGTGGGATTTGTTGTGGACAAAGTGGCGCTGGGGGCGAGTTTTCTCCGAGTACTTCGGTTTCCCCTGCCAATCTTCATTTCACCGAATTCTCCATCATCATAATCACCCGGGGCAGGTACAATAGGCCAACCAGTGGCCGCCGTGCCGAGTGGACCCAGTTGGACTCCACCCCCCACTAAGCGAATTAAAAATAAATGTAGGTTTACTCACGCAGGATAAGGGTGTCCGTTGGGTCCGATGCAGTCAGGGGGGTCCTTCAGCGCATCACCCCATAAGTACTTGAAGGGTTCCCCTGTGCCTTCGCACACCCTGCCGCCTCCTGCTACTGACGTCAGGGTGACCACCCCGCAGACGAGCCAGTGCAGCGCCACCTGCAAAAACACGTGATTGGACTAAGTACGTGTTCTGGTAGCGCAGTGTAGGATGGAATGCACTGGAATGTCGTCCAGAAAAACAGTTCCCATCTCACAGGAAGCCAGGCTGGACAG